CCACACCTGTCTGTCTGTACCCACCTGTCCTCCTCCACACCTGTCTACCCATCTGTCTGTACCCACCTGTCCTTCTCCACACCTGTCTGTCTGTATTCATATGTGTCTGTCTACCTCTGCCTATATCCATCATCCGCCTGCTTGTCTTTCTCCATCTGTCTACCTGTTTATCCTCGTCAACTTACTCAAGACAGACCCCCCAGAGACAGTGACCAGAAATCTACCACCACCAGGCCCTGCTGAGCCCAGAGCTGAGCCCAGAGAAGAGCCCCTCAGCCAGCTGGTCCTGAGGCTCACGGACACCATCCAGGCCCAGGACAGCCCAGCTCCAGCAACACGAGTGAGACTCAAGCACTTCACAGCACAAGCCAAACAACACTGCCTCACCCACTGGGACACACACACACACTGGAATGCTACAGAACCCTAAACACACAACACACACCAGGAGAATACCTGAGCAGGGTAAGAAACAGCAAGGAGAAACAGACCCTGACGAAGGACAGGCTCAGAGACCTACAATCTACCTGTCTATCTTTATACTGGTCTACCTGTCTGTCTGTCTTTGTCTGCCTGTCTGTCTGTGTAACATATGGACATTAATCAGATGCTTTGAGTGCTACTCAACCTGCTGTAGCTCAAGTATACTCAACAACGAGTGAAGACGGCTTAATACAGATCTGTGCATCTGTCCATCTGTCCGAACCCCCTGTGTCTCCCGGAGTGAGTGAGCGACCCAAGTGTGTAAGAGCACAGTGCAGTGGAGTAAATCACAGTGAGATCAGGGTAAAAGCGCAGTGCAGTGCAGTAAATCACAGTGAGATCAGGGTAAAAGCACAGTGCAGTGCAGTAAGCCACTGGGAGCAGGATGATTCCTCAGCCACCGGACGGCTGCGCTGACCGATCTCAAGCCTCAGGGGGAGATAAGGCTCCCACTAACCCAATCAGCCCTGATCTGCGCTGATCTGCTCCGAGACGGAGCCGCGCAGATCTCTGCTCTCTCTTCGGCTTCCAGTTCCAGGAAAGCACAGCGACCGCAAGCTGAGAGACGAGAAAGTGGAAGAGAGAGAGGAGCTGCCGAGCGCAGGGGTGACGTGGGGGGGGGGCACCGCGGCTCAGCCCAGAGGAAGCGAGGCACCGAGGCCCCCGGCGCGCAGGCTCGGGACCGCAGATGTCACACTGCACTCCAGTAACACGCAGAGCCTCACACACACACCAGCCACTCCCCTTCCCAGCAGGATCCCTCACAGACCGGGATGACACAGAATGGGACAAACACCCCATGGACTCTCTGCACATGGAGCTCGGTAACAACTCCTCACAGCGCATGCAGGACTAAATAAGGCCAATACCCAGTACT